AGCAATGTATGAAATTTATATATTTGCCACATATTTTTTAATATCGGAAAAGTATCTTGCTAAACAAGGTAGGTTTACGCCAGACCGCGTCTTGTCGTAACAGGCTTCGCGATGTCTCGCTGCCTGTTCCTCTAATCCGCGCCTGGCGTACCTACCTTGGCCTGCGGCGCTAGCCTGCCTTCGGCAGGCCATGGCTTGCCCATCGTCGGTTACTTCTAAATTGTTGCATGCTGGGGGGCTCCGCCCCGCAGCCCGCAGACCCCCCTTCATTCCAGATAGAGTTGCCTCATCCACAGATAACACGATCTCTACCCTTGTTACTTTTCAACTAGCCGGGGCTGGAGGGCTCTGCCCCCCTGACCCCCCTTTCTTCAAGGCAGAAGGCATTTGCCGGCAGAAAACTCGATTTTTCGCCGTTTTTTAGGTGTTTTTCGGCTATAAAAACTGAACTAGTTGAGCTAGGATAGAGAAATTTCGCGTGTGCCGAGCCAAGGACATACCCAAAAAGTGTGCAAAATCTCAGCCAGATCGGCCGAGCCGTTCAGGAGGAGTAGTGCTGACAGACACACAGACAGACAGACAGACAGACAAAACTTTTCAACCCCACCTGAGTAACGGGCTTCGCTATCGCTCAGCCAATTATCTTTTCCACATATGACGTCCATACATGTTGGGCCATATACTTTGTCCATATAGTGCTCATATATTTTCCATTTTGCAAGGGTGCTTCATTGGCTGTTGTTCCGGTTTCCAATCCTCATGGTGCGAATGGTAAGTTTAGTCGTATTCACTTGCCTGAATATTCACTCTGCGTACACCTACCTCTTCTTGGACACTTGAGGAATGCCCCCTGGAGTTTTGTTGCATTTTGCTCAAACCGAAAGGTCCGGACGGCCGGTGTTCGAAAGGGGGTGGGATTTTCCGGGGTATGATTCACCCGGGGGTGGTTGAAACCTCGAAAAAACATGATTGCTTGGTGCGGGGGACGTCCTGACGCCACGGCAAAAACTTTGTCGTGTTTTACAAGGACTGGTCACCTCAGCTAAGGGTCTTGGCCTTAGGTAAACCCGTCTGGCTAAGGTAGCTCCTTAGCCAAACGTTTGTTTACATGTCCGCCATGTTGAGCCTATAACCTAATTACCGATGCTTCACACTCAATAAACGAATTTAACCGAGTAAAGGTAGTTTAAGTTACAGAAAATACCAAGGTAAAATGTGCGATTTTTCCATTTCGAGTGCTCGTTTGCCTCTGGATGATCGGGTTCATTCACGTTCGTGAAATATGTGGTCGGCTGAGGGAGCGCCGTAGCGTACACGTAATCCAAATTTCTTTCAGCAATCCTTCCTTGTTTTTGAAATGCGAGTACAGAATCGGGTTCAGCGTTAAATTTTACGTAAGCAAACATGTTACGTTGTGTTTTATTAGTTAATTTTCTGCATTCCTACAATTGGCAAATTTGAGGTTAAAAATGGCGGACGTGAAAACGAACGCGCTGGGCTAGTTTGGCTAAGAAGCTACCGTGAAACGGGGTAACTTCGGACACTTTTGATATGTTTTTTTGAAATTGTGAAAGTTGTGGTGATGTCATGGACTTGAGGGTTAAAATTTATCATCTACCCACCTTTAGCTTCGTTTTGGCGCTTATTTCAATTATCTGCACCTCACCGTTTTTACAGTGGAGGGTCCGAAGCAGTGTCCGAAATTACCCCGTGTTTTGGGGTAATTTCGGACACCCCTGGAAAAAACGACTTTTCGTTCTGATTTTGGTCCCAAACTCTGTCTCTTTCTAAAGTGCCAATATGATTATACGAGAAATTCGTAAGGGTTGAGATGTAAAGGTAAGGTAGGGGTGGTCATACATAATTTGAAGTCATGTTTTTGCATTCATATGTAGTTTGATTTCAGGAATAGTGAGTGGAACTAGTAGAGCCATTTAGAACGCTTCTATTTTTAAATTTTTGACCGATTAGCTTTCATAGGCAACTCGGGCCTTACTTTATTACGCGAAAAGTGAATCTTAAATCTTCCTCTACAAGATAACATACGATCACATACATGCATATGAAAGGCAAGTAGTCGTGTCGTATGTACGGTTAGGAAGATACAGGGGCTCAGTGGAAAGCTTTGCATTTCAATTGTAGTGAACCGGCGAGCTATGCAGCCATTCGCCAAGGGCAACTCTCATGTCACATGAAAGAAAATTAATCGCAAAACAGTCGTTGACACTAAGGTAGGACATGCACATAAAACTAAGTATGAAGCTACATAGCTTTGCCCCATTGTTATGAAATTTGAAGTTTTCAAAGCAACCGCTGTAACAATTGGGGCACGGTAAAAACGGAACCTGGTTTTCCCAGGAAGCCTATGGTGGAGACATAGGCGATTTCCAGGGAGTTCCTGGGAAAACCAGGTTCCGTTTTTACCGTGGGATGATCGTTGTTATTGGATTCTCTTCAACTTTCAGAAGAGCTCTTCAGCTTCCACCACTCAAACCTTGCAAAATTGAAAGTGTTCAGGACATACCCCCTCTCCCTGGCGTGACGTTTGTATGTCCCGAAATTACCCCGTAAAGTAACATGTTTTCAGTTTTGAGCCCATATAAACCATACTATTTGACCCAGGTGATTGAAAATTTGACACAGTATGCTCTTAACATGATCGAATCGACAAACAATCACCTCATGAACCGGCCATGGACAGTTTCGGCTTGCCAGTCAAAGTTTTTACGCATAAAGCAAATTTAGGTAAAAATGGTTGAATACAAAAACCACTCTTTCTCCTGAAGTTTGCCCCTGATTTGGCCTCCGGGTGATTGATCAGATAGTTTTAAGTGTGGCCGATGCGATGCGCGCAACGGGACAAGCCTCCAAGTTGGCCCTTAGATGGGAGCATCATTGCAATGCTTCCGGGCAGAGATGTCCGAAATTACACCGAGTGTCCGAAATTACCCCGTTTCACGGTACCTTAGCCAGAGGGGTCTCCCTAAGGATCAGGGGCCAAGACCCTTAGCTGAGGTGACCGGTCCTTGTAAAACACGACAAAGTTTTTACCGTGGCTGTTTTGCGCGAAATTCGAACTTGATCGAAATCCGCCCCCTTGAGGGGGTGGGGGTGAGTGCAGCGGGGGGTGGGTTGGTTCAAATTGAATTCCGCTTGCATTGTTAGAAAGAGGAGACTCATTTGACCTCGTACACCAAAACTTTGGACTTTGCGATAAGGTAAAGTTGGTTTTTACGGCACGTTTTCATCGTTTTTTTTTCACTTTTGCGCACTTAGGGGTGGGTGCCGTCCGTTTGGGGAGGCGCACGGGCCACGCGCGCCTGGCGTACCTACCTTGGCCTGCGGCGCTAGCCCGAGGGGTCGGCAACTTCCCTTGGCCGTGTACGAGGGAGTATACGTATATTACCTGTAATATAGGTAATATATGTGTAATATAAAGTAATACAAAGTAATATATGGGTATTATAGAGGCCAAATTGTGGTAATATGCAAGTAATATATGGTAATATACAGGTAATATACGGGTAATACAGCCACCGCGTACGAAGTAATATATATGAGTTGCCGACCTCTCGCGCTAGCCTGCCTTCGGCAGGCAATAGTTTGTCCATCGCCGGTTATTCTAACTTGTTGCATGCTGGGGGGCTCCGCCTCCAGACCCCCCTTCCTTCTAGGTAGAGTTGCTTCATCTACAGATAGCATGATCTTGACCCTTGTAACCTTTGAACTTATCGAGGCCGGGGGGCTCCGCTCCCCAGACCCCCCCACCTTCAAGACAATAGGCATCCTGCCTGCACACTGCGGCAAAAGACTACGGAGAATTCTGTAAACAACTTGTGCTAATTCTCCGTACCCAGAACCCAATAGTTTCCGTAGCCCTCTTGTCAATATTGACCGTAGGACTTTACAGTCCTCTCCGTAGGCCCTTAGCAGTCTTTTCCGTACAGCTCACTTACCTGAAGTGTAACACTCGTT